TCTCTCTCTCTCTCTCTGTGTCTCGCTTGCTCTCTCTCTCTGTCTCTCTCTCTCTCTCTCTCTTTCTCTCTCTCTCTCTCTCTCTCTCTCTCTCTCTGTCTCTCTCTTTCTTTCGCCAGGGCTGTGGGCAGAGGTTGCCCTCTGCCCACGCGCGTCAGAGCCCCCGTATGTTATAACTGTCTCTCTCTATTTCTTTCGGCAGGGTTATGGGTAGGAGAGTTGCCCCTCCTACCCGCGCGCGCTCTCTCTCTCTCTCTCTCTCTCTTCATCTTTGGCAGGGTTTAGGGGTGAGCCCTCGTCTCTCGCACTCTCTCTCTCTCTCTCTCGCCAGTCCCTCTCGCCCTGACTCGGAAGTTATGGGTTGAAGTTTTGCAGAGCTCCCACGGTGCGCGTTCTCTCAAGCCTCGCTCGGCTCTCAACTGCTCTAACGGTAGCATTGCCACTTCCGATGTGGAAATCGGGTCATCCATCTGGACGCAAAAGCTGCTGGCGACAGGACATCGTAGGGGCAGAGCCTCGGCAATGTTGGGTTTGAATGGCGGCGTTACCTCGGAGACGGGCAGCCGTCAGATTGGACAAAGCGGACACCTCCGCCTAAGACTGCAGCTCTTCGCTGTTGTATGGCATTCCACTCGAGTCCCGAAAAAAAGGGATGCAGCTTCACCTGGCGGAGGGAACTGACACTGCCTGAGTTCTAGCCTCTGTCCCGCACCTCCTCTCCGTCTTTGGGGCCACCACCAAGTCTTTTGGTCGGATCCTTAGCAGATTTCTGGTGGCTCTCTGAAGCTCCGTTTCTCCAGTCTATGTTGTCTCTTCGCCTTGCTGGATCGCCTTTTTCGGCAGGCAATGGTTCACAAGGCACCCAGCTTCTATGCAGAGCTTCCCAGCTCTGAAGAGGCTGAAGCGGAGAGGGGGAAAGCCACGCCTTTAGATTCTCGCCGCCCTGGTGCTCTTGGAGCCCCTCAAGAAACGAGCACAGCTGCCGCGGCAACGGCTCAATGACCTCTTGGCGCTGCCCAGCGAGGTCGTTGAAGGCTACGCGGTAACGATGTAGACAGTGGCCACTGGGCCATCCGGACGCGGGCCTCCCGGGCCCCACTCGGAATTTCGCTGCCCCTTCCGGGTTGTATCGCATGTCCCCACACACTGGGAAGCCTAAGTGTGCCAAGTGCGCTCGAATCTGGTGCATGCGGCCGGATTCGATCCGAATTGCGATGAAGGAGACTTGCTGCCCAATATGAGACAGGTGCGCGAGAACCTTCACCCTGCTCAGCGCAGGTCGCCCATAGCTTGACACAACAGATGTTTGGCCCACCTTCCGCAGCCGAAGGGAAATCTCACCATCGCCTGGCACCCAGCCTAAGCACAGCGCCACATAGTCCCGTTCCAGATCTCCCAGCTCTCGCTGTGCTTGCAGAACGAAAAGGCTCTCAAAGCTTGTGGCCTGGAATACAAGACCGCTCGAAGGAGTATCGAGCCGGCTGATGAAGCCGGGAGTTTCACCGAGTCCGAGACCGAACATCTGGCTGAAGCCAGACAGAGCCTTACCATGTGTAGTGCCTCCTGTGTCTACCTCCCAATCTGAAGGCTTGAAGAGGACCACAACTCCTGGCACTTGCAGAACTACCCTGGGCTCGCTATCCGTCTCAGCACGATTTGGTTCACTGATTCTCTGCAGCTTCTGAGTCTTGCTCCGCCTCGCATCCAAATCCATGCCCAGCTGGCGCAGCCGATTTGCGATAGCAAGCACGGACTCGCCATGCGTAGCTTGGCCTTCGGCGCGACTCCGGTGAGCCCAAAGGAGTCCGAGCAACGAGTCTGCATCCTGTACGGTCGCGCTGTTTAAAAGCCTCTCTGTCACCGTCAGCAAGTGCGTGGCAAGCGTGACATCCATCATGTCCAGAGAAGCATAGGCCCAGCTGATATTCGCCAGGGCTTGCAGGCCGAAGCTTTGGCGCTGCACGATCTCTTCAGCGAGTGGGTTCATCACATCTTCGCGTCCCACCCCAGCAGAAGCGAACGCCCAGGCCACCTGCGACAGGTGATGATCCTCGAAGCACTGGAAATTTGGAGGCTGCAGTTTCTCAAAAAATGCAACCACGGCAACCTCGTTGTCCATGCTCCCAATCGCCCAGAGGCAGCTGCTGAATTCTTGGGGCTTAAAAGCGCTCGGTTGCGTGTTTAGAAATCGCAACACGTCTTCAACCTCATCGACACTGAATGAGAGTTGCAACTTGGCCAGGGCCCAGAGTGAGTTGGCGAGGGTCTGCGGGCTGGCACCTTGGAGGTCAAGCTTCTGAAGTGCCGGTGGCGGTGGTGCCATGATTACAGCATGTGCTCGCAAGAGCGAGCTCGATGCACGCGAAGTGCGTGGGTAGAGCTCCAGAGATTCCGTGACGCTCGGCCAGATGGCGCTGGAAGCCAAACGGAGCTCCGCGAGAGCCCAGGTGGAAGCAACCAGTTCGCTCATGGCCAGTGGCCTTCGACCCTCAAGCTCCTTCAACAGGACAGCTGGAATTGAAGATTGGACACGTGCCAAGGCCCAGAGTACGTTGGACAAATCCTGGGTCTTCGCATTTGCTGAAAGCTCGTGGGCACGCAGAAACAGATCATGTCGAAGTCGAACGGATCCTGCAGGGACCCCTAACCGCCCTGACCCCATGTATACAAGGCCTTAAAACGAGTGGGGTCTGATTGCTCAACGGGACCCAGCGCCCAAAGGCAGCGAGCCAATTCTGCTCCCTGCAGACGATCCAACGCGTGCAACGCGGCCCCTTTTCCCAGCGCAGCTCGCAATGATTCTGGTGCCACACCAGCCAAGGCTGCAGCCCAAAGAAGGTTCGCCAAGGCCACCTCAGACACGAGACGATCCTTGCAGCTGCTCTCCAACCAAATGCAGGTGAGTAGCGGCATCTCCGGGAGGGAAGTCCTGGTAGGATCTCAAGAGAATCCGCCTCAGACTTCTGCGTTCTGCACCCGTTCAAGTTCTGTCAAAAGAAGCTTGCGTGAGCTGTGCTGTGCTACTTGGTGTTCTTGGCTTTCTGAGCTGCTGGCATGAAGTCACCGTCCAGTAGGTGTGCTCTTGCATAGGCCCACGCAACATTCCCCACATCCTTGCTGGAGGTGCAATGCAACAAGGGCCGCAGATGAAGCAACAGCTTCCGACCTGCAGGCAGCACTGAAAGTGCAAAGTGCAGTCAGAGAAAACAGACTCTGCCAGGACGACTCCCGTCCTATGTCGTCTGGACGGATTTTGCCAGTGGCCGGCTCTTCATGGATATCAGCTCCCGGTTGCTTCTTGAGCTGCTTCCCCAGAAGCCAAACCACGCGACAAAGTCTCGAAGGCTCCACGATTGAAAGTTGACGCCTGTGGCAGGAAACCACTCCTGCAAATCTTCGGCATTTCTAGCACAGCCAAGTCACTCCGGAAGTTTGAGCAGCTGCAACAGTGTGGCTTGGGATGATGTTCCACGGAGGATGCTCTGGCAGAGCTCCAGTGCCATGGCTGTGGCCGATGTTGACCAAACTCCATGCGTGGAACTCTCCGAGCCGCCTTGCAGCCTTTGGGCCAATTCTTCAGGGCGGCGGGATGCGAAGGACTTCGCTCTGGCTTCAGACCTGCCCGATGTGTCTGGGCGCTGCACTCCCATGAGGAGCTGCTGAAGAAGGTTTTTGGCCTTCAGGAGTTGCTTAAGGTCTAGACCCTGTCCTGATCGTGTTGCAGAGAAAGACCCCGGCAATGGACGTGATGTAGGACGGATACGTCAGGTCGCCCCGCCGGATGCGCTGGCCATGAAAAATCGCACGTGCAACTCTCGACTCACCGCTGACTCGTCCCTGACTTCCGACCTCAAAGAGCTTATCCCTGTCTCGCGTGTAGAACGGAGGCAGCCTTATTGCAGGACAGACAACCCGAGAAGAGCGCCCGAGGTAGCGGTGAAAGCATCCTGCTAAGCCTGCTAAGCATGAAGCCCGGTGAGCATCTCGTACATCAGTGCACCCAAGGAGTACCTGGAGTCGGCCGGCTACATCAACTCTTGTCGTCCTCAACTGACCAACCCACCAGGCCGAAAACAACGGAATTGACACACTGGGTCACCAATCGACAGCCTTGCCGTGGCCCCGCTTGTCTAGAATTTCCGGTGCTAGGTACTCAGGGGTACCTTGGCATCGCGGCTCCAGTCATTCAATTTCGCGTCACCACGATCATGCCGATCCGAGACTTCAGCCGCACATAGATTTTGCTGAAAAATTGTCCTGGCACAAGCCGTGTCAAGAGACACAAAAGCTGGTCACCATTGATGCCTGCTGGCTCTTGCGGGCTCCTCAATCCCTTCCTTGCTGAGGCCAAAGTCCGTGAGTTTCACATGGCCTGCCAACGGTGTCCGTCAGCAAAGCGGTTGCCGAGCAACCTCTTTGCGCATAATAGCAATACCGACGCACTTGTCTGCACCTTCAGCGTCTAGCAAAATGTTCTCGGGCTTCAGGTCGCGATAAATGATGTTCAGCCTGCAAAATGGCTGGGTCTGCAACGAACCACGGCCATCTACAATCCGCCGGTAAAGCCCCCCAGGAACTCAGCAGCATCAGGCTGCAATCGCAGATGTCTCGGGCAAACGGTCGAAGTGATTGGATGGAGACATGCGCTTACAAGGGAATGGGCTTAATATCGCGATATCATGCAGTGTGGCAGGTGCTCGAGATTGAGCCTGGAGCTGCAAGAGAGTGATTTTCCACTCTGCAGTGTTTGAAGAGATCCCACGGTGATCCAGCATCGGCATAGCTAGGGCAGCAGAGGGCGCAAATGTGCGCATGGACCGCGGACACGAACAGGGACTGGTGGTAGCTCTGCTTTGCCGGGAAGACCAGCAGAGTATCGGCAGGCACAGGCACTTCTAAGGGTAGGTTCGATAGCTTCAATGGGCATTGACAGTAGACAAAACCGCATGGCTACGAAGTGTAGCCTGCGATCCAGGCGGAGCCATAAGGCCTTGTTGTAGAGAATGCTGCGACGGCTGGGACAGCCCAACACAGGGAAGATCCGCGGTCAGCACGGACAAGTATGAACAGTCTCAATGTTGAGGTGCTGTCGGGAGCTTCGCGGAACATTGGATGTGGCCTGGCTTCAATTCAGGTCCGGTGCACTAACTTGGCCGCAGTTGTTTATGCAAAGGGCTGTGTTTCCTGCCGCCGAATGAGGTGTTGGCGGTGTTGGGTGCACGGAAAGCCTTGTGATATTGTGCCATGAGAGGTGCACTGCCGGTTTTCCAGTCACTCCAGAAGAGGAACACTTCAAGTTCACCCCGCCTGTGCAAATATTCAATCGCCAGCATAATTTCAGACGTATAGAACCTGGCATTTTTGGACAGGTCTACGTAAAGTCGAGGCAGCAAATGATCCACACTCCCTTTCAGTTCCTCCCGCATTGGCTTCGCTTTTCGTTCTGATGATTATGCACTTGCCTCGCTTGCACAGGGAAACCATTGCAGCTGTGCCGGGCTCCCGCATTCAGGAGACAGCAAAGGTCAAGATTGTGCGAAGCGAAAACTTGCAATGTCCAGTCCACTTCTCCCACCGTCTGCATGTCTCGGAAATGGACAACTGAATGCAGCAGACTGGATAACATCGCTTCTGCTTCGCATGTCTGTCTTCAAACACTCCTGGCCACAGAATTGGGTCAAACACATTCAAACTAGTCTTAAAGGCTGATTCGTTGAGCTCGGCACAATGCTTCGATGGCTGCTGCAGTGCTGTCGTCTTTGCTTTGAGCTTCGAAGCAGTGTGCCCTCAATGACTCAAGCGCCCTAGTAGAAAGGACTCCGGACTCGAGTGGTCGGGACGCACGCTAAATGTGTATGAGAGGAAAAGTTTCAAAGCACCCCCGCTTCGCGAGGCGGCTTTGCTGCACTTCGAGGAACCAAGCGACGCACTGAAAAGTGGCAGGCAGCCTGTCTCTTTTTCTGACCTGCACTCCTCCAGCGCAGTTCATCTGGCTTCGGCGTCTAGGGATGATTGATCTTGGCCCACCGAGAATGCACGCAGCACCGTTGCACCATGCCTTTCATGTTCTGCTAGTTTTGCGGGTTCAGTTCACATCCGCAAGCCGAGGGCCAACGGACAAGATGAATTCCAGGACACGCTTCAAAGTGGTGACCTTTGCCCCACCCAACATACTGCGACCGGTGCTGCAGGAAAACCGCAAAAACTGCCTCCAAACGTACGACCTTGTGGAGACTGCCAGGACAGGACAGTTCTGAAAGCGTGGCGGAAGGATGAAACTGCCAAACTGCTTAAGCTCAGGCTCAGAGTTGAAAGGTAGGGTCAATTCCAGGCATTGCTGGTTGCTGCTGAAGCTTACATCTTACATCGAGTGACGTACCGAAAGCGTCCATGCACGTGAACCCAAGGTCAATGCGCTTCAGGCTGTCAGGGAGCTGCGCTTAAGACAGCGGTCGCTTCTGGACTTGTGAAGTGGATCTCAAGCTGGGTTGCAAAAGGCTCCGTAGACCACATCCATGACACTGCCGACTTTCGAAGCAACTGCTGCAACAGAAGCGCAAGGAAACATGGAGAAAAGGGCCGATACCCTTCAGATGGTCAATTGATTCAATTGACGTGGTGCGCACTTGCGTGCCTCTTGCAGGGCAGCTGGCAGACGTCTCCCGAATGCCAGCAGGGAAGAATTGCACATCCGTCAAATCGCTTTGACGTGCGGAAAACAAAGAATTCTATGCTGTGCCACATCAGCGTGCTCTCTCGCAGCCAGAGCGCAGCAACTACGATCTACCTTGCTCTTTGCGGAAGCTCCTGAGATACGGAGTGTGAGTAGGTTTCCCTGCACTGACATGTTGTGTTGGCCCAGCCACAAACACGACAGGTGGAAGCAGCCCGATCAAAGGTTTACAGAATCCATCGGACAATTGCATCAAAGCGTCGCAAGCTTTCCCTCGGCCAAAATGTGCAGTCCCGGCATCTGAGCCATGTAGTTGCCTCCATGTACTGCGTTGTCCCAACCTGATGAGGCCATTTACATGTACAGCCGCACACATGACAGACGCTAGCATCAAGTCCCCACAGCCAAGCCGCTCATGCCCCGGTCGTTGAGAACGAATTCCATGGAGCTGCTCTTCTGCACAGGTATGTCGATTCTCCACCACCGACCATGGCTGTTTGGCCTCGGGATCTTCGAGCCTGAGGCAAGGTCACGACGAGGGGAACAATGGGATCAAGACCAACGGAATGAGAGCAAACGACCGTGGGGGAATGAGAGCAAAACGAGCGATGTCTCAGGCCGAGCAACCCTTGCACTTGAGGCAAAAGACAAAAGTCCACTCAGGGCAACCTGGAGGGACACCGTGCAGGATGTGGCAAAGCATTCGGACAGTATGCTTCTTGCATCATGATGTGCCTCGAATACTTGGTTTCTCAGACTTGCGGAGAGGCCAGCCAGGACTCTCTGTCCACACATTGTCGATGGAGAAATGAACATGGGGCGCATCCCAGCCGGAAAAATAAAAGAGCCTCTGGCTGGAAGAGTCTGTTGGCCCTCGTGCTCTTGTGCAAAGACTTGCCTTCGAACTGCAGCCAAGAAGCGTCATGTAGTGCAAATCGGGATTTGGCGCCGGGACCGGTCCCCCAGTGCATTCCAAAAGAAAGAAGCGGGCGTCCCTGGGCCTGATGCGACGGTCCAGCTCCGAGAGGGAGCACCCAGCCTGAAAAACAAAGCTTTCGCAAGGTCCACTGGTCAAGATGTTCACGGGCAGGCATTCGCTTCTTCTGTTTTTTCTCCAAGCCGTGTCGGGTTCTCGGGCTCCGTCAATGAGATTCGCTTCGATGCCGCTTGCATTGTTGAAACACTCCAGACTTGCTCGATCTTTCTCGCTCTCGCAGCGTCGTGCGTGTTTTACTGGTAGAGTGGTTCCCACTGTTGGCCTCGTCATGCTTCCGCCAGTCCGGGTCGCTTTCGCCTCCAGAAGTCGTGCTGCCACCTGTCCCGTGCATTTCATCCTCGGCCGTGCCGTGTGCATTTTGGGTGCATGCCGTGCTTCGCCTGCCAAAGTGCAGCTCGTTTCGCATTTTGGGTCCGACTCGTACTCTCTGCAGCGCCGTTCGCATTTTGCACTGGGGTTGGTCTTGGTCCTGATGCATGTTGTTTTTTTCTGTCCCTGCCCTGTCGCAGCGCTACCGTCGAAACGAGAAGCCAATGGCCAACTCGTAAGCCGCAGCTGTATTGACTATCTTGCTCTGCGTCCTGGCCTCTGACAGGCACAACCTTCTAACATTCTAACCCAACCAGCACTACAAAACCTGAACCTGTGTGCTCAAAGAAGCCAGTGCTCTCAGCAAGTTGATTTTCTTCTTCCTCTCGTTTTGTTCGTCTTCTGGGCTGCTTCTTCCGTGCTTCTTGCTTGCTGGCTGACAGGCTGGGAGAGCTTCTTGCCCATGCCATCCGTGCCCACGATGTGAGCCACCACTCGCCCCTTTGTCTTCTGTTGTATCTTCTATCTCTCCCTCTGCTCCAGTTTGCGGGATCGTAGTCGTATTTCGACACCTTCGGCCTGTAAAGCTTCGCATGGCGGCGTCGGCGCCTTTACTTCTTGCAGGCTGAAGCCCTCCAAGGCCCACGGCAAGCCAAAGTCAAGGCTCTTGCTGGAGACGTTGAACACGGCCAATCCAATGGGACAGTCTGAAAGTGTCAGGAGGACTTGCATGGTCTCGAATTGCGGCGGAGGCCAGGCCCTCATCTCGCACTTGAGGTTGTATGGTGCCAACGCAGCTCGAAAGCCAAGCGCGGCTTGAACCACAGGACAGTTCGCGTCGTCTTGATGCATCAACACACTGCCCTCACTCCGGGCTATGAGATAAGCCCATGGCAAGGCGGCGTCCTCTGCGCTGCGCCAATCAATGCCACAGATGGCGGGGCCGTCATTCAGCATGGTGTCGTGGTTGCGCACAAATTGCACTGAGTGGTGTCCCAGGCTCTCTGCTGCAGACAGTTGTGACACCATTCCCCCAGCATTCTTACAGCGCCAAGCATTTCTGATAGCAGCTGCTACCTTGAAGTCGGTAGATGGCACGCCTTTTCCGAGCTTGTCGTACTGCGAGTGAAGATGGCGATCCATGGAAAGAACTTCCGTGTAGACAAAGCCCCCCTCCTGCTGAACGTAGTCAACATATCGTGCAACGTGGGCAGGCCTCATGTGCTTGGCAGCATCAAGGCCTCAGCTTTGCGGAACTTTGCATCTTACGTCTCAGGCTGGAAGTTTCTCAGAGATGCACACATGCCGAGCTGCGGAAGCCGGAAACACCACAATCTAGCAGCTGCCGCAGGTGCTCAAGGTGCAAATTCACAACCTTGTCGCTGAAGCGCAGCTCACTCCATTCTCCGCAGCCCCAACCTTCGAACATATAGTTGGGGTCATCCCACTTGTGACCTTCCAGGCAGACCCAAGGCCACTGGAAGTCATTCCGATCCAATTGTGGCCCGAAGGTCCGATCCAGTCGGCCCTTCAACTCCTCCAGCTTCCCATGGTCCTCTTGCGCTTCGCGCCACTCGCTGCAGGACGCAACAACAGCCATGTGGTTGAACACGCAGTCTGCAATCCTCAGTAGATTCGAGCAGATGTCAGTCTTGCATCTCTGGCACGCCTCGCATCTCTCCGTTGGATCGCCCAGGGGCACCATGACGCGGAGGTTGGCGGCATCTTCGCAGAGCCGTTGCAGGCCCTCGTAGCCACCTCGGGCACAGAGCCTTTGCATTTCCTTGCTCTCCGAGCTCTGCACAAGCCGTGAGTTACCGAGGACGCTGCCCAGTGCAGGATCGATCTCCAGATGGCTCAGTGGCTGATACCGCAGATACCAGTGTTGACGCAGATCGCCTGGCTCTCTGGCAGGCCACATCAAAACCCTTCTTTCTGCTCCTTGCCTCGTGGGCTCAGCTGAGCAGGAGGGATCTGAACGGCATCGAAGCCTTTCCAAGCCAATTCCGGCAAAATTTGGCCTTAGGCGGCGCTTCAGAATTCAGAGCGTACCCAGATGCTTGGACACACACACACACACACACGAACACACACACACGAACACAGCGAACATGGCTGCACGGGGACCGGACGAATCTCTTCGAAGGAGAGGTGCAAGGCATGAAAGATTGTGCGTGGCTGCGTTGGACTGTCGTACCTGAAGGCAATGAAGCCCCGCCTCTACATGCGAATCTTTTGATTTTTGGCCCGTCAGGTCTAGATGAGAAACTGGTCGTCACTCATCTCTTCGATGTCGTGGTCATGGAAAGCTGTCTCTTCCGTGGTTTCGGAGCGGTTGGAGTCCTCCGGGCTGAAGGAACGAGGCTGAGCCGCAGAGCCCGTCCCAGGCCAGGCCTGACCGGAGCCTCCGAAGAACCAGGAACTCCAGGACCTTCTGGGACGTGACGCTTCGTCGTTCGCCAGATCGAAGTCCAAGCCCTGGGGGGGCAATCGCGGCCCGTGCATGCTCGTAGCCTCTTAGCTTTCTTCCTGAATTCTTGGCCGAAGCATGCCGAAGCTCGACGAGACGAAGCTGCACAAGCGCAAGAATGAGACACAGCTGCTGGTGTACCACAACTGGAAGCACAGGCCATGTCTGCCCACCCTTCCATCAGGTCCTTGATGTTCTGCGGCCTTCTTGTTTCACTTTGTATGGGTTTCTAGCTTCTGACAGCCCGTTCCTTGCTTCCGGTGCTTTGTTGCGAGCTGTCGTTGTTCTGCTTTTTGTGCTGCCGTTTGATCTTCGCTCTTCATTTGAAACACCTGTCTTGAGATACCTTCTTTCTTTCCTCTGTTCTTGTCGAGTCTTTCCTTGGCTCCGTTTAGCATCGTCTTATCTGCCTGGCGTTAACGTACAGCTCCCTCCTGCAAGTATCATTGTTTCGTTCAAGCGCTGCTATCTGCTCGTTTGAAACCGCCATGTCCTATCGTTCCTTCTTTCCATCTCTTTGTCGCTCTTGCTGTCTCGAACCCAGCTCAACTGAGATCGCAGCGGATCGCAGTGGCCATGAAGCATAGTTCCTGCAGAGCAGATGCAGCAAAAAGCTTCAAGGCTTCAATCAACGGCCAGGCCTGTTTGCCACAACCTGGAAACAGGGAAGGAGACAGTGAGACAGAGAGAATCGAGGAGGCTGAACTTGGGGAACAAGATGGGCCATGCATGGCCTTTGAGGTGGACGTTGGCACCTGGTCAGGACATCGAGGAGGCGCTGCGAAGAGGGCGGTCCTGTCCCTTAATTCACGCCTTCAGGGAGCGGCGGCCGCACTTTCCTTGAAGCCAACGGATGAAGCCCTTAAAGCAAAGGAACACCATGGCGCAGAAAGGACAATGTCAGGTTCACGAAGTGCTGGCAAAGGAAAGGAAGCCTATAAGGGGTTGCGATTACAGCAAAATCTGCTTGCCACGGCCATGCCTGTCTGTCTTGGCTGAACACTTCAATGAACAAAGAGCTTGACTTCCTAGCCTGTAGGTATAAGATTGAGCCACACCCACACACGAGTAAGGATCACCATGCAAGAAGATGTGCAAGACTCCCAGCAAGTGGGCGTGATCACCGCTTGCGAGCACTCGCGGCAGCGCTCCACGCCTGCAACGGCCTTCTGAGAAGCGCCCAGCTCGGCTGAGGTGGAAAAAAAGCTCTCCCCCAGGGCCTGCAGTGGGCTTGGCACTCTTTTTATAGCCTGGCTCATGGCTTACCTACTTCCTTGAACAGGTGACAGGACGACAGACAGAGGCCCGTGCAGTACTCCAGCACGAAGTACAGCCTCGACATCAGACGCAAAGCCGCTTGAGGCTGTCTGGGACGAGGCTTGAGCTCCGGACTTCTTTGGAGTCTGAAAAGCGTAATATAGAGTTACGATGAATGGATGAGACACGGCCTCGCGATCCGAAGTAATGCAGGCTTCCAAACGTGCTAGGGCTGGGTGAAATCATGCACGAGGCCGGGCGGCGCCCTGCCTCTAAGACATTTCTTTCCGTCTTCGTGTGCTCTACTTGGTTACGCTTTATCACGTTCTCCTGGCAAGATCATTGAAGCTGTCACTAGCAAGAGATTCAATCCCCGTTGGCTTAGTCAAGAAGGCTGGCAGTGCCTTTCTGAGCATCTTCATTGCATAGACATGGTCCTCTCCTTCGGCTTTGTGCCGCACAAGCATCACCTGAGGAAAGAGCAGAGATCGGAAGGATGCACCAGGTGTGGTGAGCTACAGCTCCGACCTTGCCATAGGAGCCCTTGCCGATGACCTGTCGACCAAGACGCAAGGCCCGCAAGGCTGCGCTGGCCGCTGCACACCGTGCCTTCATAAGGATGAAGTCATCTAAGCTCGGAGAGCCAGGAGGCATGGCTGCAGCTGGCTGCAGATGGCAGCCTGCACAGGCAATGAATTCACCTGCAAAGAGCCTGGGTGGCCAGCTGTTGCCTCAGCTCCCGTCCATCGAATCTCCGGACGAATGATTTGACTCTAAGCCACGAAAGTCCCCGAAAGGAAGGCATAGCTGGGAAAGCTGCGCTTGCATGGAGCCATCGAGTCCTTTCACATCTTGAGTCTTGAGCCTGCTCCGGCTCTAAACGAGGCCACCGTTTTGGCAAGCCGAGTCTAATGTACAGAGCACTAAAGAACATACAAGCTTGTAATGCTTGTAAGCCAAGTCATTTCGCTCGCGTAGCAGACAACTGGAGCTCCCTCGTGACCCTTGCGAGCCGCACCGATGCGAAGCGTTTCACAATCGAACGTTCCCGAAACATATAAGGAATCACTGAGATCGGGGGGGCTCGTTCCGTTCACCACGGGCCCTCAGCGCTGAGCCAACCGAACTTGCATTAACCCTTGTGAATCGAGACGGCTTCAAGCCAGCTCGACTAAGCTTTGAAGAGACTTTGATCGGCAGTCGCTCTGCTCAACAGAAGGCCTGGAGACAGCGTCAGCACTGTGCCTACACTTCCAAGTATCCATGCACAAGGCGCAGGCTGTAGGAGCCACGGAGCGTCTCCAGGGCCTGCAGTCTGCACCCAACCCGACAGGCCGGACCCCTCATTGCAAGCTGCTTCAAATATCGTTCCGACCTTGTCGCAGGCCTCACGCCGAGATCTCTCCCAGCGTAGCTCGGAATGAAGACGGGCCACCAGAGCTTCATACTCTGCGACCTGAGCGTGCTAGAACCTCGCACTTGTTCCTTCGATTTCCTTCGATTCGCGACCTCCACGAGCTCGGAGAGCTCTTCGTGCCGCGGGTCAGACGCGGCCTCTCCAGGCAAATGGGTCAACTTTATGGGTCTTCCAGAGTAGCCCGGATCCTAGCGGCTAGGTCCTAGTACACAGCCTCACCCAGGCTCAAACTGGCGATGCCAGAATCCAGTTCGTGACCTCGCTTTGCAGCTGCCTCCTGGCATGCTGTCGTAGCACTGACTCGTCAGGATTGCCACAGCCCGAAGCACTATCCTGCTTGACCGGCAAAGGCGGAGGGAAGTCCCTTGCTGTAGCCTGCTCAATGTTTCTGAGCTTTTGTCACTTCGATTTCTGGTCGAGACAAGATGAGGGCTCGGGATGACAGCCCACATGCCCACACATTGCCTGTCACATGGTTATACTCCACCGACGACCCCGAACAGTAAGTGAAACTCACATTGACTCACATCCAGCGAGGCGACTGCAAAGCTACATGCACACCGTCATGTTGTCAGGCTTCGGAGACCTAGCCGCCCTGATTCATTCCGGGACAATGGGCCATTTCAGGATGCAGGGCGGGACAATGAAAGTGACAAGGGTCCGTCGCCGAAGTCCCACACAACGGAGGAGCAGTGGAGAACCTCCGCCAACCCGACCAAGAATTCCCTCCGGCGACACGGTCACCTCATCCACATCAGGAAGCGCAAACGGTCATGAGGGGAGACGTGGTGAACAAAGACGGACAAGTCGACACACGCCCACACACTTGGACACTCCCTCGCAGGAGTAATTGGCTTGTTACTTCCCATGGTGGGGTTCTTGGCTGAGCCCTGCAAAAAAGCGATTATTCAGGTACGTCCGTCCAGGTGATCAGCCTGGATGTCCTCCCAACTCAAGAGTACCTCCGTTGGCAGTGGACTCTTGAGTGGGCCACTGCCCCCTGCATACATAATGAAAAGATGCCCCTTTGCTATCAGGGTTTCTCACACACACACACATACATACATACTTCTTCTTCTTCACTCGCCGCGAGAGGGAGTCTTCGCGTTGCGATCTTGGGCAGCCTTTTAGACCGGCATCTGTTGACGATGCGTGCTAGAATTTTAGCACCCCGTGCAGCAAAAGGAACTCGGGAGCCTCGCCTGAAAAGTCAGCATGTAAGGTATAAGTAACGATTATCGAAAAGCACATAAGACAGTCATATGATAGAGTACAAGATGAGTTCGGTTCAGAAAGTGTAGCTCACCCGGCGCGAACGCCCCATATGCGGTGAGGCAGACAGGCGAATGAGGCTCCAAAAGGATCAGGATGGTGATGGACCATCGGCTATGACATCATGTCTACAATAGAACACTAGATATGAGTTGAGAGTGGCCTCCTCAAGGCAGTCGGCTGTTACCGGGCTGGGATGCTGGTTATCATCCGTCACCATGTATGGCTTGCCATGCTTAAAAAGCAGCGTCCTGTAGTGCCCTGCATGTATGTCCGGGCCCAAATGAAAGATGGCGGCTTGCAAGACATATTTGCAAGAGGTAGTGCGGGTGCTCTCGTCGGCAAATAAGGGTAGGTGTATGGTGGGAGTAAGGACTATTTTACCCCTAAGTTTATGTCCATCAGGGGAAAAGCGGCCAATCTGCAGTGGCACCACAGTAGGCAGGTTCACAGCTGCATGCCTGCTTGCCTGGTTGCGCCAGCTGATGATCAACGACTGCACACTGAAAACGCGAGTGTCATCAGCAAGGGCGTGCCTCAAAACTGCTGGGAGAGTCACGGGCCACATTTGTCCATGATCGGTCGCCTGTGGCGGGCTTGCTGCAACCTCCAACCTAGCCTGCCAATGCCCCATGTGAAATGCTGGGCTCAAGACGTGCTCCAAATGCATCAAAAACTCTGCTGAATCATGCTGCTGGTGAGGTCCAGCCCATCCTGAGAGCATTTGGCGCCATGTGCGGACATTCCAAAGTTGCACGGTTTGCGGTTTGCGGGTGAGCCACCCGATGAGCCTTTGCAGCTGATCGTTCAGGAACGGAGTGCCTGTTGGCAGCCCCGCATTTACCCACATGAGGGAGTACATGATAGAGTTTGCATAGCAGTGGTTTGAGGGGTTTGAGAGGCCTAAACTTAAAAGGCACCGGCGCCTGCTGCTTACAGGTCCCTCAGGATCTTCTCGATCTGGATGGCCAATGGTGAGCGGCCCAGGCGTGAGGGCCTCATCGTGGCTCCCACCAAGTGGAGCACCGAGCAGCGGCATAGGCGACGCATCCCTTGATAGAACTGCTGGGACTCCGCGTTGCGGTTCTGTACCTGAAGTATAAAGGGGATCACCTCCGCCTGGTGCTGCTGGCTGAGCCGCCTCATGGCATGAAACCTGCCGACCACGTCCGGCATCGCATTCAGCTGCGACAAGAGGGTCACCGTCTGCAGGGCCTCCCGGTGGCTCAACGGCTCTTGCTGGGCTTTCTCGAGCTTTTTGGCCTTCGGATTCCATTGCAAGAAGGGGTAGGCCTCCTCTTCCACCAGTCCAAGCCGTTTCGCCTTGGCCAGCAGCTCGGCATCCGACTCGATCTTTTTCAATTTTTCCAGCAGGGCATCCAAAAGGCAGTGCATGAGCACCGACCTCATCGGTAGATCCAGGCTGGAAGGGTTGCTTTCTTTGAGTCGATGCCATTCGTTGGCAACCCGGAAGAGCGCCGAGGTTACTGACCAGCTGTTTTCTCCTTCCTCCGTCTTCAGGAAGAGAACGAAGGTCGTATCCAGGTTCTGGATGGCGAACGAGTCCTCCATTCGTAGGAGCATCCGCCCGAACAGGCGGACCAGTTCTTTGAGCTCCTCCTGCTCGCGCTGCTCGTCGCGACGACCGTCGCGTTGTCTGCCCTGCTGGCGTCCCCAGCTGTTCCGCTGCCAGGATTGGTTCCAGTCTCCCCAGCTCTGTTCGCGCCTGTCCCTGTCCTGGGTCCGGGCTTGACGGGCTGCTCGATCTGGCGAGGCCTGCTTGCTGCCCTTGCCCGTGGCGATCAAGGGGAGGTCCTGAGGAGGCGTCGGCGTGGAGGAGTCCGGGGGCTTCTCCGAGCCCGCTGGTGTCTGTCCTTTCTCCACGCCCTTGGCAAACTTCACCTGCGCCTGGTCGAGGCGTGCTTGCTGCTGCTCC